TTATATTTTCAAAACCTACAACAAGAGCTACTAAAAAATGTAAACAATATAGGCTGGAAATTAGTGTCTACATTACTTTCTCAAGCTAAAAATCCACATTTTGACTCCATGTGTACAGTACTTATCAATTTTAGTGGAGTAAAAACAGAGATTTATAACTTAAATATAATGTAGACACTATTTCCAGCCTAGTTTGTTTACTTTAAAATTTTAAGTCTCTTATTTTAGGCTTGGAAATATAATCTTTGCATTTTGATTCAACTTGTTTCTGTACATTTTTTGATAATCCCTATTCCCCCTTTTAAATTAACAATTTTAGTTATTTTGTTTCTTAAGTTTTTTATGTCCATTTATGGAGAATAAATTTTAAGCTACATACAGACATACATACATATGCTTTCAGTTTTTCAACAGTTTATGTTTGCATTGGCTTTTTTCCACCCAACCATTATTTACTGAGCCAGTTTTTTTTTTTGTGTAAACATGCATTTAACAAAAGTCAAGTACTAAGGAAGCTACTCACAACAACATCGCATATATTATATATTTATAGCCATGTACATCAACTTTCAAGGAAAAATAATCAACTTTTTAAATAGGTCCTGGACATTCGCAGCATTTCATATAGTATATCTGTCTAGGTTTTGGCAAAATAGCCAGCCAATTATAGCTATAGGCTTGTGAAACAAAAGTATGAATAATGATAAAATAATACTAAAATACATACTAACAATTTCAGTGAGGTACAAAAATCAGTAGAACAAATATCATGACAAGAGTAGAGAAATCTACTATGGTAATCGTCTACTGTTAGAAAACTCACTGAAATTGTTGCAGAAAACCATGTAGAGACAAAGTACAACAGGGAACTCGAGTAACAATAAAGAACAGTGCACTTGAGAAATGATGAATCCTCAGTGTGGCAGTTTCCAATTAACGTGCTCTAAGTTGCACAAATTATTTTCCAAATAATTGCATTAGTATAACTCTGGATTTCTTCAATGGCGGAAAGTGAAGGACTTAAAGAAATTCCTGAGGGTGAAAAAATGAAGCTGCTAAAATTAATTTTAAAATTACTTTATGACATACTCAATACTGCATTCATTAATGTTGTCAAGTTTTCAGTAAAATATTTGTAGCAGTTTTCTATAATCAATAATAATAAGGCTAGAGATACTTTTATAAATATATACATTGTTTACTCTAATACAACTAAGTGTTTCAGACTAGTATAAAATGGAGCATTTCCAACTAGTATAATGGTGCTTAACCCTATCGGCATGGGTTTTCTTTACTGCACAAGGCATGCATGCGAGCAGCTCGCAGTAGCTCATAATGTAATTCGATAGTGTAACGTGAGCTGCATGTTCTCCAAGTGATTTACAACTTATAATAGCAGGAATAGTAGTTAGACACAGTTCAAAAGGGCAATAAAATTTTATTATAAATAGATGTATACTGTTACGAGCTAAAAGCTACTTAGAATAAACAAATGCAGTTTTGTGTTACAATTTGAAGTAATTCTAGAAATAAAAAAGGGTAATTTAGATTATTTTTTTGGTGGTTACGAGGTCAGTTAAATTGAGCAATCCTGTATAGGGTAGAGAAAATAACATAAAATATAAATTTTTACTTTAAAAAAAAAGTTTGGAAATGTGTTTAGGAGGTTTTAGGGATTACAAAGGAAATTTGAGATTTTTGAGATGAAGAAAAGTATTTTTAATCTTAACATGAAAATTACTTTGCACATGGACTATTCAAAACAAATACTCAATATATTCATGAACAAATCTTTATTTTAGTTTATTAAAAATACTTCACCAAAAAATATGACTTTTTTGTACGTGAAAGGCTTATAATGTTAACTGAAAGAACTATATTAAAGTTAGAAGTATTAAATTATATAGACTTTATATGAGTCACGTGGTTGGTCAAATTGTCCAAGCCCATATTGAGATAGTTAAATGGCTTCTACGTTTCTGTGATGATTGAATAGCTTATGTTGGTAGTGAAGAAGAACTTAGAAAATGTTAGAGGGTGGAAATCTCAACTTTCAAAAATAAACTTAAAAAATAGCACTATAATCTTTGCAGGAGTTTGTTTAGTAGCTGTGCACAGATTGTGATGCAGTATACATAGCAGTTTTTGCTGTAGGCTTTGATACTTGAATGGCTTCAAAGAGAAACTTGGCCAATAGCAATGAAAAAACTGATAAAATCTTTTCCTCTCTTTCAAGAATCAATA